CATAAAAGGTAGAAAGATCATATTTCTATAATATTTCTGTATATCACCTTATCAGGCAAGAAGAAAAACCAGTATGTGAAAAGATATGTTAGAATTTGAAATTAACTTTTGACCATGTGTCCCATGAAATTCCAGATGATCAATAATCCATTCAGTCTAGCTACTAGTAGAGTACAAAGGAATCAGATGTTCCTGTCACTCCATAAAACTGTACAAAATTCTAGTATCACATTATCAGGGGAAATTCTGACGGAATATTATTCTGCTAAAGATATGTATTCCATATATTTGGCGACCCATTGAACATCAGAGTGATCTGACAGTTGTCATCTTATTGAAACACTAAGAGGCTTATTGAGGAAGATACAGACAGGATTAATTTCTCTGCTAGCAGAAGAATGCAAAGGTCAGACATCACAACATTTCCTGGAGTTTTTAAAAGTAGGAACAAGGTTATTAGGAATCACAGAAGTTTTAAGTATAATCTACTTAGAAAAGATAAATGAATATGTGATACAACTTACTGCAGAAGTAATGGAAAATGTGTAAAACATTCTAAAAATCCAAGAAGGGGAAACGTGGCAATGCAAAACTCTTTGAAACATGTGTGGAATAGGACTTAATCTTATTTTTCTTCTTCCAACGGGCAAAATTGTGAATAAAGAGAGAAATTTACAAGAAAATACATTCTAACATTATTTTGTTCTTGCTGTTCAGGTGCTGGGGCTTGAACTCAGGGCCTGGATGATGTCCATGAGCTTTTATGCCCAAGGCTAGCACTCTACCACTTTAACTACAGCTCCACTTCCAGCTTTCTGTGGTAATTTATTGGTGATAAGAATCTCATCGACTTTCCTGTCTGGGATGGCTTTGAATGGCAATTCTCAGATCTTAGCCTCCTGAGTAGCTAGGATTATAGTTATAAGCCACAAGCACTTGGCTCTCTAACTTCATTTTAAGGGAAAAATAGCCCTGCTGGTCATATGGTTAACATTGGGGGACGTATTAAGTTCTCTATTGTTAGAAGAGTCCTGTCAGAAGCAAAGGACTACTTCACATGGTGGCTTTTGGGCAGGATTCTGATGCACCATATAAACGTAAGTGGCAATTTAACTGATGGTTTTGCTGGGTCTTACAAATTAACTAAAAGTTCTTAACTTTGTATTGGTGTGCTTTCACCTGAGGTATTCTCTTTTGCAGTCTCTTTACAAGTATTCCTTTGTAGGAGAAATGAGAAGACTAAGTGAGAAGCATCTTGAATGGAGGCAAACTCTCTCAAAACAGGCAATTCCTTCTTCTTATCTTGCAACAAGCAGTCAAAAACAGACCACTTTGTTCCAGTTCTGTTCTAGTAATAAAGTGATTATACCTTCTCCAGAATTCTTCCTTAGTAAAATGATTGAGCTCTAGTCAACCAGGCCATACCTTTGAACTTGAGGTTATTTGAACTCTATACCTTTCTCATTCCTTTTCTTCAATTCACAGTGTTTAATCTGAAGTCAATGTCAGTACCCTTGAAATACTGAAGTACTCTCTTTATGTATCACAGGACTGCCATATCCCTTTATCTGGCATATGGGAGGAGTGGGGTATGAGTGGCTGAACCTAACTTGGGACTTCTAGAAATTGGTCTAAAAACCCAGATTGAAACAAGATAACATGTAAGACAGAAACTTTTCAATTTTAAGATATAAGGAGTTCTTAAAGGCTGGGAATATAGCTCAATAGTAAAGTGCTTGCCTCGCATGTATGAGGCTTTGGGTTTGATCTCCAGCACCATAAGAAAAACAAATACAGATAAATGAAAATTCTTTGAAAAAAAACATACCTAATATCAGGTAATACCTCACATGATTGGTATTTTATTTGAGAAACTAAAAGTGTCTTCCTAAAGCTCCAAAAAAAGCTTCCTGCAGGGGAAATGTTAGGAGACTTCCTGAATTATGGGTACCAGGCACAAAAACCTAAGGAAATTAATGCAATCTCTTTTTAGTCCAGTGTACTTATAGAACTCAGGGTGAATGATAATCCTGGGGAAATTTTTTTTCTAAGAAGTGAGAGAAGGAAGTGTTGCAAATTGCTTGAGAAAGAATAGCATATTTAAGGAAGAATATTCCCAATGTAGTACAGCTGGTAAATCACAGACTAAATCATTTTGGTACTTCCTTTGGAGGAGGAAGAAAGAGAAGTTATGAATATAGGGTAGTAAAGAGAAAAGGGGGTGTTAAAACTGGCCAGGGAGCACAAACAAATATTTTTTGGGTTGAAGCAAGATAATTGGTCCATTTGGGTAGCTTCACTGATTTCTGTCTGTAGTTTTATTCACTGTCAAGAACATTTTTCTTTCAGAATATCACAAAATGAATATTTTCTTTCATTTCCAGATTCAGCTTGCTAGTTGCCTTGGAAATACTAATTATGTTTTTCTTATATAAGCAAGAAGAGAACTATTATTTTGAAAGGTTCTTAAAAAAACCTATGCCTTAAAACTCACAACAGTTAAGAGTTATGTCACATCTATTTTTGAAATAATTATATCTAGAATGAATATGAAGCAAATTATAATGGAAAAGTAGCATGGTGCTTGAAAAATCCTTTGGAAGAACTATTTGTATGGAGTTTTTTTTTAAATAAAGAATTTGAAAATAAAACAACAATTTAAACAACTTCAAGAAATCAGCATAAACATTTAGCATGATTTAATAATAGCAGCAGCTGAAAAAAAGCCAGATCTGTTGTCTACAACCAAACACTTACAGAAGAATGTGTGCAAGGTGACACCAATTGCTATACAATGCAATTATTACTTGAAAATAAAATTTTCTTCCTCATATTTCAATGTGGCACAATGTAGATGGTTACCACAGTTTATTTCATTCCTCACTCAACATTTCAGGCAACAAAGTATATATTTTTGAAAGAAGTTATTCAGGTCTCCCACCCCAATAGCAATTTTTCATATAACACCATAAGAATTGAATTTTACATCAAGAGAACAAATCAAAATTTCAGAATTTCCCCATTATAAGAAATGGCAATGACTTCAAGTGATAAAGAAATCTAAGTTTCAACTTTATTTTTCCATGTTAACTGGTCATTATTGCTATTGTTTTTACCAGAATTGTTTCATGGAAGAGTTTCTTTCTGAATAATCACTATCATCTGAAATATAGCTGGTAGATATTTGCATACTAGTTAATGTAATTAATAAGTAACTGAATAGTGAACAAAAGAAAGAACTGGTTAATTCAAGAAAATAAGCAAGCCAAGTGTCAGTGGCTCATGTCTGTAATCCTATCTGCTGAGGTGGTTGCAATCTGGAGATCAAGGTTCAAAGATAACCAAGGCAGAAAAGTCCCTGAGATTCTTGTTTCCAATCAACCACTAAAAAGTCAGAAATGGAGTTGTGGCTCAAGTGGTAGAGAGCTAGCCTTGAGCAAAACCACCAAGGGCCAGCACCGATTCGAGTTCAAGCTCCAGTACTGGCATTTAAAAAAAAAATCAAGAATGGATGGAAGCCAAAAGCCTTGGTTGGAAATCCAATTCTTTCTATTTATTAACCCAGCAAAAGCCTTGGTTGGAAATCCAATTCTTTCTATTTATTAACCCAGCAACCATGAGCAAGTTAGCAAGTCTCTATTTCATTTTTCTTGTCTGAAATACACTATTGTAGGAAATACATGTTATATTACAAAAAGCATTTCAAACTGTATGTGGGACAGAGTAAATACTAAATAAATTTTAGTTATCAAGATTATAAGTCTTTAGATAATACCAAGATCATTAATAATTATGAAATTAGACTACTAGTATTACAGACAAGCTTTCTAGAATTTAGAGAAATATCATAGCTAGACATAATAAATATAAACCTCTGGGGTTCAACTTCTGAAACTTGAAAATATCCCAGAAATTGCTTTTCTGTATAGCTCAATCCTCCCAAATACTTCTTCCAATGGCATAATTATTCCTTGATGACACAAATATAGCTCTGTTTATTGATCTATCTCTTGTGAATTTTCTACATATGATTATTACTCTGTAAATTCAGCATATCATAGATCATGGAAATAAAGTAATTTTATCAATGTAGTTTCAAAATATTTTTATATTTTTGATTGCTTTGATTTTACTTTAGTTTATCCATGACTTAGTCAGAGGACCTGGGTGTTCATATCAGCCATTGCCTAAGCCCCTGAAGTCCATGGAAGCCAGTGAACAGCTTTGACCCTGTCTGAGGAAAGAGTAGAAAAAAGGGATCTCTTTGCACAGGGTCTGTGTCTATGTAGACTGAACAAAAGACCATGGATACACATAATCAATAAATCCTAGAATGTTCCTTTTGCCATGTTAAACTACATCAGTCTAGAAATAGTAGTTGCTCTCACTGACAGGAGATGATTTTGATTAGAAGGATAATCTCTCATTTCCATGCGATGTGCATCTAGGAAAACTGGTGATAGTATAGATTTCCATTTTGAAAATATCAACAAATCCAGACATTTTTTTGAGATCTCTTCCCTTGAAATCTTTTGTCTCTTCCTATTTCCACTTAACGCGACTGCTATGGATGGATGTGCCCCTTTGAATGCCATATCAGCCCCTCCCCCCATCCTCAGTGTGATGATATTTGGAACAGGCTCTTTAGGAGACATTGGAAATTAAATGTTACAGGTGACACTCTACTCCTATGGGACCACTGGACTTACAGGAACAGAAAGAGAGAGATCCTGCTCTGTCAACACAAGTACACTGGAAAGGCCAGAAGATGGTCTTTCTTAAACCAGGAGACTCATCATCCTAAATATAATAGATTGCAACCTTTGCCTTCTTAGCCTTCAGAATGGTGAAAAAATGAACTTCAGTTGTGTAAGCTACCCAGTATATGGTATTTTGTGGTAGCAGTGGGGGCTGATTAAGATGGCCACATAGTAGAAAATAAGAACTTTATCCACACACACATACACAGAGAGTTGCGTGTGTACTGGAGAAGAACTCACCATCAGAAGTCTGTCTCCTACTTGTAACCTCCCATCCTTTTGTGCAGCTCCACCATCTATAATTTTTGTTACATAAATACTATTGTCGCCAGGAATGTGCTGGTTCCCCACGCCTCCTGCAATACTGAAGCCTAAGCCTGTGGGAAAGGAACAGAAAATGTTCAATGAATGAAATGAGACACATTTCAACAGTTTATGCAAAGTAATGGATCACTAAATATTTTATAATAGTAATAGATGACATTAATGATTCTATTTCAGTCTATTTTGTTTTTCCAGTATTTGAAGGCTTGTTGTTTGCTAATGAGACAATTTTTCTTTTTTTTGGCCAAACCTGTGTGAATTTTAGTTTCATTTTATTTCAAGATCATGCACCTGGCTATTGCTCTTCTTCAACCAATTGGCTTATGATGGATGGATGGCCATAACAGGGATCAGGGTAAGAGTACAAAGGGATCCTAGGGGAGTCCAAAAACCACAGGCACAGTACTGCTCTTGCTGAGTCTATGGTTGCTATTATTCTAGCATAGCTAGCAGAAATTTCTCAATCGCTTGAACACAGACCTGGATACTTGACACTGCAAGATGAAAAATACCGTAGTTAGGAAATCACAAAAATTCTGAGACAAGAGCCATGAGGATATATTGGATATTTATGTCATAATTTCAGCGAAAGATAAGGAAAAGAAGCCAGATATTTGTTTTTAATGTTTTCTTCTCTGGTCACCTTGCCATGTTTCAAGCACTTATTGTTATTAACTGATGGTAAGACTGGTGGCAAAAGCAAGAATCAGCTGGGCACATGGAGCTCATGGCTATAATCAGGAGGCTAAGATCTGAGGATCATGGTTTAAGTTTCCTCAGCTAGAAAAGACTGTGAGACTTAACCAGCAAAAAGCAGAATTGGATGTGTGGCTCAAGGGGTAGAGCACGAGCCATGGGTGAAAAAGCCTTGAATTCAAGCTCAAATACTGGTGCGCGCGCGCGCACACACACACACACACACACACACACACGAACACATCCATAGACACACAAAGCAATACAACAGAACCAACTATGCATCCAATCTAAAGAAGAGATAGGTAACATTTTTTTAACATTTAGCAATTATTTTCTTAACGTTTTTAATATAAAGAATGGAAAAATACAAAATCATTCTAAATGTTGAAACAGTCTACAGCACATCTTATCAACTTTTAAAGTTGTCACAAAAATTTGATACCTAATAATGAATAACATTTCAACAAACATGAACTCTTTTTCATTATACTTTAGTTGAATTAATATTGTATAGGCTTATATGGTCTTCAGAGAGCATAAATGATTAATGGAAAAATGATAACACAAAAATTACAAAGTACCACTTTTGGAACTATATTAGCAGTGCAATAAATTTGTTAAATTAACTATACTAATTGTTAAAATAACTGGAAATGGATTTAACTGATAGGATAATTAAAATAAATGTTATCTAATTTTCTTCTGAAGAGGGTAATTATTCTTTATTGATGCTTTGCCATCTCATGGGAGCATGAATGTATTTGCTTGTGTAGGATTTAAATTATTTTTTCATTTACTAAGCAAAAGATGACCAGAACATAAACATATGTTACCCCAGTGGCTCTTCCTCTGAGCTACCTCATGTCTTATAAACTACTTTATTGGATACATATAGAAAAGACTAAAAAGTACTTTAGCAAAAGTTTCATAGCCACATCCTAGAATCAATCTATTGCATTTTAACACCCCAGAAGTCATTCCAAACTCTGTAAAGAAAAGGTTAAACACAAACCCAGCAATTCTAATTTATATCTACTAGGCCAGCAATAAATGCCACAGGCAATCTTAGTTACAGGATAGCTGTGGAAACAAATTGCCACCATAAAGAAGATTAAGTCCAACAAAGAGAATAAGTACGTAGTTGACATTTGAAGTTGAAGATTGCACCAAGACAACAAAATCACTATGGATACCACAGGCATAAATATATCAACCAAAAAGTAACACTTTATTTTGAGATTAGGTTTATGTACTTCTTTTCAACTATTGACTGTTGAAGGTGAAGCCAGGCAATTTCAGAGAATGTCTTTGAAAAAGAAGAGCTAATATTTTCTCTCACTTTGATAGTAATATACATCCATTAAAAACACATGATCATAGGGGGAAAACAAAGGAAGGGGCAACAATGCTGGATAAGAAATGTACTCATTACCTAGCAAACCATATGCAATTCAACATAGTAAGTAAATGTATAGGTTATATCATTCAGAACACAAGTTTATTTACAGGTGCAAGTATCCATCTCTGGCATAATATCCAATCTTTCCTCATTCATCATTGACTTACTCACATATTCCTTCATTAAGTTAATATCTGTTGAGCAAATTCTATTAATATTATATAGGCAGTATCTATCAATGTGGTCAAGGTAAATTTAATGATGGAGCTTTCCATAGTGTTATGTAGAAACAGTTTAGAAACAATAATTCCTGAGTGCGTTTCAATGAACATGAACCTGGCGGAAGCAGTATTTTAAAGCAGACAATGCTACTGAGTTTTGGAGGACTACTCTACAAGGCAAATTTTCCCTACCATCATAGAGCAGTATGATCAAATCAAGATATACTGAGACTTCCTTGTGGACACTTTGTTAATGCAACAGCAAGGCGGTCCACATCAAAGGACCTAGGTGTTCCAAAACCAATGTCCTGTCCTCTACCTCCTCTTACTAGTTAATTTTTTTTCTTCATTCTATTCTAGACACAATTTCAGCCTTGAAATTTCCAGAACACTCTAGGCATGCTCCTCCTGTAGGGCCTTTGCTTGGTTCCTGCTGGTAGAAATACTTTTCATTCAGAGCATTGCTCAACTCTCAATTTCTCCAGGAGCCAGAGCCTGATTCTCCCCAACCCTCCCTGCCCCCACCCCACACAGTGTATTTTTTTCAGATCCAATCCCTCACTCCCTTCTCTTGTTCTACTTTTCAATTTCTCTACCATGAAACATACACTAGAAGTCATCCTTTTTTTGTCTTTCAGACAAAAAAAAATCTCACTTTGTTGCCTAAGCTGATTTTTGGAACCTTGGGATCAAGGGATCCTCCAAGCAGCTGAGCTGGGACTATGTCATGTCTCCAGAATGTGAGAGATTTTACTCTATTTTACACCCTGGGAAGGGACAGACACCTATTTGCCTCATAATATGTGTTTTATGAAAGAATGAACAAATGATTAGACAAGGGGGTGGAAAGGCATAGGTCTTTGAAAAATCCTCATGCTAATGATCAAGTTGGTGGGCACGAAATGAATGAGAGGCACGAAATGGGGTGCTCTCATTTGGACCTAGGAGTTTTTGAGGCACGGGACTGCTTTTGGAGAACTTCTGTAGTTCTCCACCCTCAGTCTGCACAGGGTGTCAGTGTGCCTACTGCAGAGCAGACAAGCTTCAGCACAACCAGTGCCACTTTTGATGCTTCCAGCAACCAACTGGTGAGATTTCCACTTCAGTTTCCTTAGCTGTGGTAAAAGAATAAGTGTATCTATATGCTATATGCTATAGTAAGAAGTTGATAGGTCTCACCAATGACTACCTCTTACATTTGTGTGTGTGCATATCTGTGTGTGTGTCCACATGCACCTGCTTGTCCTGGGGCTTTATGACAGGGCCTAGGCATTGTTCTTGAGCTTTTTTGTTTAAGGCTAGTGGTTTACTACGTGTCCCATAGCTTCTCAACTTCATTTCTGGCTTTTTGCTGGTTAGTTGCATATAAGAGTCTCATGAACTTTCCTTTCTGGGTTGGCTTATAACTGCAATCTTCATACCTCAGTCTACATACCAAGTAGCTAAGATTATAGTCATAAGCCACTAGTGCCCATCTCTATTACACATTCTTAATATGGTTATTGAATAAGACAGATGGTTCCTATGTGTGCATTGCATATGTAGAAAGCTGAAAGAAAAAAAAATAAAGTGACAAGTCAGTAGATAATTCAGGACTGTGGCAAAAGGCTAATACATGTCACTTTTTAAAACCTAATTAAAATTGATGTGTTTGGCAAGTATGGGAAGTGCATGTAGAATTTTGGGATTACATCTGTTGTGTAAACCAGCATTTGACCATTTCATCTTTCAGGTATATCCCTAATCATACTTCTTCATATTAATATAGGAGACGCAAACTTTGGTTTGAGAATGTCTAACCTTTGTTAAAGCCTTTAATTGTCCTTTCCCCCACCCCACACACAGAATCTTTCCCTTGTTCTATAAAGAGAAGTCAATGAGTAGATCACGGTTCATCCTTCCCTCGTGTCACCCGCCTCCACTGAGAGGGAGGTGTGACTGAGAGGCAGGAGCTGAAGCAGAAATCTTGGCAGTGTAGAGAGATACTGTGCTTGGAACTCAGAATAAGAACCAAAATGCTTAAAAATGTCATATGACATTCGGGAGCAGGGGGGCAGGGAGGTGTGAAGAATGGAGTCCCTTGATGTCTTATAACCATTCAATAACTTGCTTCAAGTTCCTTTTTTCCTTTTTTCTTTTCTTTTTTCTTTTGCAGGGGGGAGCACTCTGGGGCTTTTTCAAATAATTCAATATTATCAGGCAAATTGGTTCTGTCAGAGTTCATTTAGGATCTGCCAGGGAAGATGTTTATTGCTTAATGGGAAGAACGAGTGGCATTCTGCACATTCTCTGTCTATGTGTTTATTGAATGAAGCACAGGTTCTACCCTAAACTTCTGGCTGGCCCTGTCTTAGCAAATATCTATGCACACACGCAGCTTAGCATCTGAATGTGCACAGGCATCAGTTCAAAAGCAGGAACAACAGCAAAAATTCCCTTGTGGGTCTGGTCTACCCTAATAAAAGACTATTTGATATTTCTTTGCTTTTAGAAAGAAGACTGCTTAAAAATACCAAAAGTGATCTTTGATTTGTATTTGAGAGATTAAATCTCACTTGGCATCACAGATGGAACTTAACTAAATATACCTAACTTGTTGGAGTCTTGTGACTACATATTCTGATTCAGTCGTTCTATGTGTATTTCTCCAGTCAATTCTGTGAATATTTTCTTGGTTATTTTCCCCTAAAATTCTACATTTATTACTCTGGGTTGTTTTTTTTTTTGCTTGAAA